GCTGCAGAATAGCATGAGACTATCACTGTGGAAGATTGTGAAAGAATCAATTGGGTTTAATCTTTGTTAAACATTTCAACATATTTTTGAAGGCACTGTGAAATGAAGAGCCCATCACTATAAGGCTGAGTAGCTGCCTAGCTGTTAGTGCTCTATGACCTTTATTTGGAAGCACTGAATAATTCAGAGGTGGTCCTGTACATAAATTAGCTTTGGAGATAATAGGACAGAAAACAATGGACACACATTTTCTGGGGTGAGGAAGTAAACCCTAGTTCCTAGTATGTTTTGTGTGCGTGTGATTATTTCCCCTAAAACACACAACTTTATTATGTTTTCTCTATGCTGTCCTTTTTTGCAAATCATGTATGTCTATTTCTCTAACATGAATGTTTCTCTAAGCACATTTTGGTTAAAGAACTGCAATACAAAATACAGAGAATGAAAAATAAATTGAAGCACTCCTGTATTTTGGTTGCCATATTCGTTAAGGATTTGCAAATTCAGCTTGCATTTCCTACTGAAATTGGAAAGAAAGCAATTACTGCTGCAAAAGTCTTTGACTCGCTATATACATATTTTTTTTAAAAAAAAGGATTGAAATTAAAATATTGAAGATTAGGAAGAACCTAAAATATTTCTTCTTGCCTTTGGCTGGTGTAAAGAATCTGCAGATCCAATTAGGTTAGAAACTGCTGCACCCCCCCCCCAGCACTAGATTAGCATTAGAGAGACAGTAGATTCATACAAAACGATATGTTAAAGTTATATATTCAAATTGGAATAATTACAAAATCAGAATAAAAAAATAAAGGATAATATAGAAAACATATTGTTTACAAAAATCACCATGCAATAAAATCCTTGTTAGGAGAAGGATTGTGGGCCCAGTGTCCATTGGCTCACATGGAGCTGTTTGCCGCCATCATGACCAGCACCACTTGCCTGCTCAAATTCTCTCTACCCAATATACTAGGGGTAGGCAACCTTGGCTCTTTTATGACTCGTGGACTTCAACTCCCAGAATTCCAGAGTCCGAAGTCCACGAGTCATAAAAGAGCCAAGGTTGCCTACCCTTGCAATATACCAATTGGCAAATAGGGAATTGCATGCGCTAATAGGTAGAGTTGCCCAATCAAAAATCCTTTTGCTTAGTCTTTTTTGTTCCTTCTGTTCAATCGTGTCCAATTCTCAGTGATGCAGTCTACAGCTGGTTAACCTAGAGTTGCATAACCCTATGAGAAGATCTGGTCCCCTGAAAGTCTCTTATGTTAACACAGAGTTCCATTATTCAAGGAGTAGACTGTCCCACCTGAAAACCTCTTTAGCTCATTGATTGACAGAAAGTCACATTACCCTAGGGATGGATTTGCCTATCAAACACCATATCTGTCTCAGGCAAACTGAAGCACTCACTTTCTGGATGGAGAAACAGAAGCAGGCAGCCACAACTTCTTGATTCTTAACAGAATAACAGAGTTGGAAGGGACCTTGGGGGTCTTCTAGTCCAACCCCCTGCTCAGGCAGGAAACCCTATATCATTTCAGACAAATGGCTGTCCAATCTCTTCTTAAAAATTTCCAGTGTTACCAATGAAGTGTTGGAGCATTCACAACTTCTGGAGGCAGATTGTTCCACTGATTAATTGTTCTGTCAGGAAATTTCTCCTTAGTTCTAAGTTGCTTCTCTACTTGATTAGTTTCCATCCATTGCTTCTTGTCCTGCCTTCAGGTGCTTTGGAGAATAGCTTGATTCCCTCTTCTTTGTGGGAACCCCTGAGATATTGGAAGGCTGCTATCATGTCACCCCTAGACCTTCTTTTCATTAAACTAGACATACCCAATTCCAGCAACCGTTCCTTATATGTTTTAGACTACAGTCCCCTAATCATCTTTGTTGCTCTTCTCTGCACTCTTTCTAGAGTCTCAACATCTTTTTTACATCGTGGATGTAAAAAAGCTGGATGCAATATTCCAAGTGTGGCCTTACCAAGGCATTGTAAAGTGGTATTAACACTTCACGTGATCTTGATTCTATCCCTCTGTTAATGCAGCCTAGCACTGTGTTGGCTTTTTTGGCAGCTGCAGCACACTGCTGGCTCATATTTAAGTGATTGTCCACTAGGACTCCAAGATACCTCTCACAGTTTCTACTATTGAGTCAGGTACCACCTATACCAGGGGTAGGGAACCTTGTCTCTTTTATGACTTGTGGATTTCAACTCCCAGAATTCCTGAGTCAGCATGGCTGGTTCAGAAATTCTGGGCATTGAAGTCCATAAGTCATAAAAGAAACAAGATTCCCTACCCCTGACCTATACTATAACCATGTTCAAATCTGTCAAGATCCTTTTGTATCTTAAGCCTATCTTCTGGAGTATTGGCTATTCTTGCCAGCTTGGTGTCATCTGCAAATTTGATGAGTTCCCCATCTATCCCTCATCCAAATCATTGATGAAACAGAACCTTGTGGTAACCCACTGCATACTTCCTCCATGTAGATGCAGTTCCATTGAGGACCACATGTTGAGTGCAGTTGGTCAGCCAGTTACAAATCCCTCTGGTGGTGTCTAACCCACATTTTTCTATCTTATCAAGTAGTAGGTTATGGTCTACTTTGTCAGATGCCTTACTGAATTCCAAGTAAATTATACCCACAGTATTCCTCTGGCCCACTAATTTTGTCACTTTATCAAAGAATGCAATATGATTTGTCTGGCATGATCTGTTTTTGACAAACCCATGTTGGCTTTTGGTTATGACTTTGTTTGCTTCTAGGTGTTCGTTGATTTGCTGTTTATCTTTTCCAGAATCTTCCCAGGTATTGAGGTCAGGCTGTTACATTTGTTGTTTCCTAGATCTATTTTTTTTTTTTTTTAAGATGGGAACTACATCAGCTCTTTTCCAGTGCTCCAGGATCTTCAGTGGTTCAGATATCACATCTGCCAGTTCCTTCAGAACCTTGGGGTGTAGTCCATCTGGTCCTGGTGATTTGAACTCGTCTAGGATGGACAGGTGCTCACTTATCATTTTCTTGCCCATTTTAACTTTGTATTCCTAATCTGTTTTTTACAATACTGTTTTTGATAGGTTGGGCTGTTTTTTCCTTTTATGTAAAGACGGGTGCAAAAAAACGAGTTAAGAAGTTCTGCCTCCTCGTTGCTTGTTGCTACCTTCTTGTCACTTTCTCCCATTAATGACCAATTGTTTCCTTGACTTTTTTCTTGTGTTTTACATATTGAAAGAAGGTTTTTTTTTGTTATTTTTGTTGCTAGCCTTAGTTCATTTTGAGCCTTAGCTTTCCTCACTTCAACTTCGCAGGCTTGGGCTATTTGCTAATATTCTGCCTTAGTTATGTGTCCCTCTTTCCATTTTTTATACATCCTTTTTGTCTTTCAATTTATCAGAGAGTTCTTTATGCAACCATGCTGGTTTCTTTTGAGTGCTGTTATTTTTCTTGTGCTAAACTGGACTTTTATAATCTCACTTTTCAAAATTTCGCAAGCTTCTTGAGTTGTTTTCCCCTTGAGGATTCTCATCCATGAAATCCTTCCCAGGCTTTCTCTAAGTTTATTGAAATTAGCTCTCTTAAAGTCTAAGACTCTAGTTTGACTTTGTTCTATTACTTGTGCTTGCATAATATTGAATTCCAATATTGCATGATCACTCCCCCCCAAGGTTCCCCCAAGCTTCAACATCTTCTATCATTTTATCTCTGTTAGTGAGAATTAACTCCAATATGGCTGATCTTCTAGTTCCCTTCTCTACTTTTGGGGAGACAAAGTTGTCTGCTAGGAACTGGTTTAATCTTCCACTTAGGGCAGAGTTTGTCTCCCAGTTGATGTCAGAATAAAGTCCCCCATTACTATTGTGATGTGCTTCCTACATACCTTAGTTAACTGACTAGCAAAAAGTTCATCTATTACTTACTGTATGTTTGGTTGGGTGGCCTATAGTATACACCTATGGCAATGTCATTTTTCCCCCTTTTTATATTGACCCAAATGCATTCAAGACAGTTTTCATCATTGTTGCGCTCTATTTCTGTAGAGATGTAGTTATTTCTTATACGTAGTGCAACTCCACCTCCTCTTTTATTTGGTCTGTTTCTTTTAAATAATTTAAATCCCTCTAGCTGTATGTTCCATTTGTGGGTTTCATCCCATCAGGTTTCCGTAATGGCAACAATATCATATCTGCCCTCATTTACTTGAATTTCTAATTCACCCTGTTTATGCCTCATACTCTGTGCGTTGGTTCATAGACAACTTGTACCCTCACTCACCTCTAATCTATTTCAGCCTGCCATCTGCTTAGAAGCTCCCCATCTGGGGGTGGGAGGGCAGCTCCAGATTTTATAACCCTCTTCAACCAGCCTTGCTATTGCCTCCATGACAATATGAGGAGGGCAGGATTGGGTAATTCCTGCACACCTACCTGTTGCTGTGATAGAAGATGTTTGCAACTCCACAACTTTTTATGGGCAAAGCTTCCATTGGCATGAATGGCAGCTTGTACGCACTTCAAGAAGCATTCCTGTATCTCCTGCAACCTTCTGGTGCATCCTATTTCTACCAAATTGCCTACTGACATCACATACAAGAGATGTGATGTCTCACTGAAGTGAAAGCGCTAGACTAGGAGCAGAAAAATCCAGTTCTGAGTCCATCATATGCCATAGAAGCTGCTAGGCCAGCCACTATCTCATCAGTCCAGCTTACTTCACCAGTAAGGAAAAACTTGAAGAGGGAAATGCTGTGTACTCTGCTTGAACTCCAGGAGGAAAGCAAGATATAAATTTAATGAATAAATAAATACATCAGTACGTTCTGCTCATTAGTTCAATCAACTCAACTGGAGGGAAGGAAACGGCTCAATTCAAATGTTTTAAAGAAGCTTATTTGAACCTGGCAGAAGAGAGGAAACTCCAAGTCAGAAAATAACAATTCATCAGACACACCAAAAAAAATCTTCCCATTTTTCTTTTTTTTTTAAAAAAAAAACCACATTTCTGTTGAACACTGATAACTGATACGTGGGAGCTCCTTTGCTCCTTTCCTGGTAAGACAGCTCAAAGTGTTCCATGAAGCGGTCTTTTTTCACACCAGAAATATTGCAGCCTGTAAAACCATCAAAGGAGGCAGGTGATACATCATTCCTTAGGCTCTGCAGCGATGTCACCTATTTCTCAATTATCACGACAGATCAAATGTGCCACCAGAATATGAGGAACGTTCTCATCCGCTTGAGATCTTCCTCTGGCCAAATGTGAGGAGAATTGGCCTAACCCACAAGAAGGTGCCTTCCCAAACAGTCCTTGGCACGCTTTATGTCCTTGCTTGGGCAATCTCCCAGCATCAAGATTCAAGATCTCGTGACAGCCGCAAAAGTTCCTTCTGCCTGTCAATCACTCTCAGAGGCTGGATATGGGCCCAGGTTGCAGCTGGACTTCGAGTGCTGAGGGACTGTACTGAGCCTGAAAGGAAACAAACCAGGATTAAGGAAATCTATCATCCACTATAGTACTGAAAGAGGCAGAAAGACTAGAACACCACTAAATACAGGATCAGTTGACAAAGTTTCTTGGTTATATTGAGCAAGAAAGTAATTAAATGGGCAGAATCTTTTCTTTTTTGGCTTCTAAGGCAGATGTAGCCAGTGATGTAACAAAGTCTCCTGAAAAACTGAGACCAACTTTGTTGGCCTTCTGGGGGATAGGTGTAGGACAGGGATAGGCAACCTTGGTTCTTTTATAATTCGTGGACTTCAACTGCCAGAATTCCTGAGCCAGCATGGCTGGCTCAGGAATTCTGGGAGTTGAAGTCCACGAGTCATAAAAGAGCCAAGGTTGCCTACCCCTGGTGTAGGAGACAATGATTATTTTAGAGCAAAGTAGTGCATTAAGACCCAACTCTTTTACTTTTTCCAATGCTCCAATACTCCACCTCCTCACAAACACATATGCTGCTGAAAGTTTGTCATCACCTGTGGCTGGGGTGGAGGTGGGGTATTTATATGGCCCATAGACAGGGGGTTGCTTATCCCTTGCTGCAGCCTAAAAAGCAGTGCATTTTTAAGATTTAAGAGATTCGTCCATTTCCATGGACTTGTAGATTCCAGGGGCTGAATCCAGATCCTTTTGCACACAGACTCAGAACTCTATCATGGAATTATAGTTATTTCCAAGGAGTTTTCATAAAACCTCAGTTAGGACATAGTCCTTATGAAACAACTGTTGTTACATTTGCATTGGGTAGGGTGGGGGAGAAAATACCAATACACACTTTTGAAAAGGAGAGCAATATAAATCATAAAATGATTTGATGGTTCCAAAGGAAAAACCTACAGTTAAACAATGTATAGGAGACACACACACACACCCTTCCCCAATTCACTTGCTTACAGGTTGAGGTGCGCATTGCCCGAGCTTCTTCCAAGAGGTGCTGGGGACGACTCCGCAAGGGAGAGAGGGGAACTGAAGAAAGGGAGAAGAGGAAAAATAAAAATGGGAAGTCAGAGGTTTACAGAGGGGGGAATGTGTTATTTCCTAGCCAGCTGCTGCCAACTTCTGCTTTTTGTCGTCTGCAAAGACATTTTTCTATGTTCCTGAACATTCCAGCTCTAACAGAAATGGCTATTATTATAATGCAAGCATCCTTGTAAAACATCTAGCCAGGAAAGCTATTTCTCTCTCACCTTCTGATTTAGATCACCTATAAATCTTCCCTTTTCAACTGTATGACTTTCTTAGGAATGGGATGAGCTAATTTTTTAATTTTTACTGGAATTAAAAATAGATGAAACATTAACGTTACAAATTAGTTTGATGTTCTGGTTGTAAACTGCTTTGTAAACTGAAAGGGGGTAGAGAGAATCAATATATTTCATCGGGAAACTGTATTTGTGCAAGAATCCTGTGTGGCAACCATTCTAGACTGCAGTGTATAGGCTTTGCTTCCCTTGATCCTCACTGATCACAATTCCCCCAAACCCAGCAGTCTCCTATACTCACGGTTGGGATGACTCCGACAGTGATGTACAAGGTGGACAGCTTTGGCCATCATGCGCTGTACAGGATAGATATGGGCTTGTGTTAAATTATTCACTTGTTTTCTCTCTATTTTCTCTAATCAAGCTATTTGTACACTGAAAAACCAACTAACACAGCATGCATGCTGAAGGTGCCCCGACATGCAGTCAAAATAGCACTAGCAATAGTACTTAGACTTATATACCGCTTCACAGTGTTTTACAGCCCCCTCTAAGCAATTTACAGAGTCAGCATATGGCCCCCAACAATCTGGGTCCTCATTTTACCGAGCTCGGAAGGATGGAAGGCTGAGTCAACCTTGAGCCGTTCAGAATTGAACTGTTGGCAGTTGGCAGAATCAGCCTGCAATACTGCATTCTAACCACTGCGCCACCACACCTCTTTCTCAGAACACCAGAGTAGTTTTTTCCCAGCTAGTGAATTTTTTTTTTTCAAAATGAAATGTCCTATTTCATTCCCAAAACAGCACAACTGCCAGTCTACTTCAATTTTCCCTGTCCTATATTTCTACTCACCAGCTTCTCAAAGTTGACAAGGTTCTCCACCAAGGTACGGTTGCCTTCATGAATGAAGGTCATATCTGCAAAGTGAATGCAAGTATTTCATCATTTGTTGCAAAAAAAGAAAAAGAAATGGAGACCATCTACCTTTTGTAATTCTCCGACAGGCTTGAAAACTTTTGAATAAGGAACCTTTTGTTCCTCGAGTTTCACTCTCGTTAAGTACTTAAATATGTACATAGGCAAAAAAAGTAGAATTAATTTGCCAGCTGCTTCTTTGGTTTCAATGTAGTTGCATTACATTTCATGTTTTAGAACCTCTGAACTAGCGATGGTTATTTTGAGGCTTTACTTGTTATACTGCACCTGTGTATATTCAATAGGATAGCCTTCAATTATACCTTTAAGAAGGAGGGGCATAAAAGGGATCATGGGTGGAGACAGCTTAGCCACAGCCAGTCTATAAACACGGTGATTCCAAGAAGGATCCTAGAAAGAAAAAGGATAAATCAGATGGGATGCTTGTAGTCAAACATGCTTTAGGCAGAGTCTGTTGGCTTGTCCAAAGCCATTTTTCAATTGTCTGGCTTCATCTGGACTGTAAATGTTGAAGAATTAGCAGGACCTGGCAATCTTTTGGAGATCAATAGCCAGGGTGTAGCTGAAGGCTACAGAATATGAACAGAGCTGGGCTTTGGGACGAATTGCTCAGTTTTGTTTTTAACTGATTCATCTACTCTAGGGCTTACTTTATGACATTTTCATGCATTCCCAGACTTCAGATGGTGCAACACTATAGAAAACTGTACTATCAGATACAAGGGCTGCAAAAAGGGGAAATAAAGCTTTGGGCTGTCCACTGCTAGCTTCCATGCTTATGCAAAGTCCCTAAATATATATTCAGAATTATATAGTTGGTGGGGGGAATAAAAACTAGCTAAGCCTCATTAGAACACTATTTCACAGGAAACCTCATGCTACAATGCCAAAATCTTGCATAATTTAAATGGAAATTCAATACAACTTGGAATTTGAGTGTTGAGTGTCATAATAGCAGTAGCATGAGATTTTGGACAATATTTAATAGTGAGTTGGATAGGGTGTGTGTGTGTGATGTTGAGGTCATAAGGCAAGATTGCACAGTGGCATCCAACCTCCAGAAAAGTTTGCTGAGCTTATATAAGGGACTCTCTTCCATAATGCTCAACCCCTCGTATCTTCAGAGGTCCAGAAATAGATTTCCATTCATCTACTGAAGGACAGAATTCCTCAGCAGATTTTGAAATTAAGAGCCAAAGAAATTGAGTTCTCATTGAATCCATTCAGGGAGAGATCTAAATTTGACCAACACAAATAACTGAGCTCCTATCTTTGTGAGAAAGTCTATCAAGAGAAAGAGAGGGAGGTGCAGAATATTTCTGATCCTGGTCTAGGTAGATTATGTTCCATCAGGCTAGGCATTATTATCTTTCTGTGGAAGGATCCTGATAAACTGTTGAGCACCTAAGAGTAAGAATGTAAATTATTCTGGCTAACATTGAATCTACTACTCTTAAGTCTAGCTGCAACTCCTAATATAAAACTGGCACAAGCCACTATCGCGGCACCAGTTGCCCATCTGTAAAATGGGAAACAGAGTAGGGATACTATGTAAAATGAGAGAAGAAACAACACTTCCAAAGACAGAAAGGAACATCTCTCCACTCACCAACATCCGTTCCATAGTGCCATACAGCTTTCTTGTCTTGTATGGAAGTTTCTGTAATATGAAGAAAAATCGGAGGGAGGCTTGTCAAGAATGGCTAATAAGTTAATGCAGAAAATTAGGGAAATAATTCAACTTATATTTGTTCAAGTAGGATTTTGCACCCGTGAAAGAGAACAGACACATCCAACCCATTGGCAGAATTTTCATATGTATGCAGAACAACGTAAAGCTTTGTCAACTTTGTTAAATCCATCAAGAAAAGCTACTAGAACTTATGTCCCTGGACAAAGAGGTCAGCCTAAATTGACCAAGAAAGGCCTTGCTTATTGGCATAAATCTCACCCTGTCAAGAAAGGAAATGACTGAAAATCGGTTCATATAATGATATAATTACTCAACCTGAGTATTTTTTTCCCCTTTGAACTAAAAGGATGTGAATCGTCTCTGAGTCTTAGCTACCCAAGAATGCCTCACCGATTTGTGCTCAATAAAATTTCTAGGGAAGAAATCTGCACTGCTTCTCAAACTGAATATCTGTTCTGTGCCAGAACATGCAAATAACCCACTAGCTGCCTGTGTGATCTGT